CAAATCCTGGCAGTTGCTTGTGTAGGTGAAGCCTAGCAATGTTCATAAAGATAGGGAGAACGCACTGTTAGTGAAACTGCTTTGCAGACATAATACTTTTTAAATGCCCGATGTCCTCTTCGCTCTGTCCTTTTACCTGCACATGGAAGTATTTCAGACCAACACCAGGTTAAAATGGGTCAACAATAGTGCTCTGCCGTGCTAAAATCGGACACCTTGAAGCATATGTTGTTAGCCTCATTTTGTCAATGTCATGATAGTTCTGCTAATAAAAATCATGCAAGCGTGAATTTGTAATACAAAATAATGATATGAGAGATGTCAACAAACTGATGCGTAATCTCCATTTCTGCAAAAGCTGCCTGGACTCAGCAACTAGTCTCTATCTTAAGGCATTGATTGAATAACCATTTTTAAAGGACAGTTGCAAAGCCCCAAAGCATGCGTGTGTGTGTCTGTGTGGGAAGGGGGCTAATCCGCCTTGTGGTGCTGTTGAAGGTCTTTGAGAGTCTATGGTGCCCGAGCCTGAGGTCACACACCCTCTTCTCTCTTCAATTCATCCTCCGTTTCTATGTTCCTCTCCCCCTTCTTGATCATCCTCTCCTTTCATTTCCTTTGTCTTTTCTCTCCCACTATTTCCCCTCCTTCCTCCCCCGTGTTTTCAGTTTCTCCAGCTTCTCACAGGGGTCCCTCCACAATCGCCTTCCACTTACTCAAACTCGACCCCCATTCGTCTAGCATCCCCTCCCCCACTCCCGTCTTCCAACCCACTTCCCTCCAAAAGTTCTCCAACTCCACCTATCAATCTTTCTGTTTAATATTTTAACCGATTTAAACCGCCTGTGCGCTCAACCCCCTCTATCAGTTTGGTAGAGTACACTGCTTCGGTGGTCGAATGCTGAACCGGCTCTTCAAGATCCCTTGTGAAAGATCAGGCTGAACTTTGACTCGTACCCCTCCTCCCACCCTCAGCCTCTGGTCTCTCATACAACCCGTTTCTCTCTTCCGCTTATCCAGTTTGGGTCATGGGCGGGGGGCTGGAAACTATCCCAGTTGCCATAGGGCGAGAGGCGGGGTACGTCCTGAACAGGTCGCGAGTCTATCACAGGGCTAACACAAAGACACGGGCCACCAGTTGTGCTCACATTCACACCTACGACCAATTTGTAAAGTGTAGGGTTAGGAAAAGTAACAGCCAAATGTTCAACTTCTAACGAGCTGATAGCCATGGCTTATATTCATTAATAACAGTCGGCGTTCAAGTGAACAAGGTCAAGTGTGACTCTCTGGCTGGTGTATTTATAAGATGCTTTCTCTTCATGCTTTAAGAAGGAAATAAACTCGATGATCTCTCGCTGCGTCTGCCGTTTCCTCCTGCGTGGAGAGCTGCATATATGTAGCCGCTCTGTCCTGTCTGTGCCTTCACAATCAGCATCATAGCGGGTGATGCATAAATTAAGTGCAACATTAAATTGCAAGAAATCCGGCCGCTCCTAGGTCATAGCTGCCGGGTCTAGTTCATGAGTCACTGAGATACAAACAAAGTCCAAAACTTACAATTAGTTTTCTTACCAAGACTACATGAGCTTTTTATGATCTGTAGCTTTAAGTAACCCAAGTTCAAACTGATCACAAGAATTCCTTTCATTCCAGGACGCCTACAGGAGCCTCTTCTTTCCCATCCATCTTCCAACAGACACTCTGATAAGGCACCTTAGCTACTGGTTGACCTTCTTCCTCTCCACCCCCCTCTAGCTATTCATCAAACGCTTAAGCAAAGTACCAGCTTCATCTCCCTTCTCATCTCCCGTTCTGCTTCCATGTAACTACAAATTTCTCTGGACACAAATATGAACCTGTTTTGGGATCCAAAGCCAGGAATTTGAAAGACACACACCTTCAACTCTTAAGCAAGCAAACACAAACACACATGTGCATTGCACTAACATATGCATACTGCAGTGACAAGTGGGTGCGGATTGCAAGGGGGACATACTCACGTCACACAGAGATATTTCCACGCTAAAAACTGACAAGTTCCAGATGATGCCAACTCCCACAGATCTCCAGTTGCCATGCCCACCCAGTGAGTGAATGTGATTGGTTCTAGTGTGTGTGTGTCTGCATGTGTGTATGTGTGCGTGTAATTCTACTCCCACCTTTCTGCCACATGTCAGCAGTTGCTCAGTCACAGACACACAGTGATACCAGATTACAGCCTCTTATGTAGAAGAGTACTTGCCTTTGCATGCATATAACTCAATCACCACAGTCCTTCAATACTCTTATATAACACACGCACGGAATATAATGCATGAACGACATTTTGCATTCCAGTAATTCAGGATATATATTACATAAATGTCAGCAAGTTTATTCTGATCATTTAGCAAACTAACCAAGCAATAGTTTTAAAAATCCAATCTCAATTCAGAGACGGAGACCTCCAAGACACAAAGAACTGTCAAGAATCCCCAAGTTTCTCCGTTTCGACAAGTAGTAGAGTTAGAGACGGCGATAAAGACAAGCATGTGTGACAGAAAAAGCTCAACAAAGGCTAGACGTTTGTTTTCCGATAAACACACCGCCGTTTCCTAGATGCAGGGCATCAGGCAAAGCTGATTTTAGCTCCTGGGATTCAGGAAGACTCGAGGAGCATCTTGTGATGGAGATGACAGAAAAACAAGCACATGCTTCCCACAGGAAATAAGCACACGCTGAGAAACATAAACACCAGTGGTTTAGCAGAGAAAATATTCAACTGCACAGTGTGACCTCAGTCTTTTTAAGGTTCTATAAAATAAAATAAAAAAATCAGTATCCATGCCTTATATCAGTGTTAAATGTCTAAATATGACAAACACTTTGCAGAAAAACATGAAATATACATTTATAAGCCGAAAAAGTTGTTTTTGTGGCACAGTATAAAATGCTTCATCACAGCAAGCAGTTCCACGTGAGTCCATGTCACTGTTTTCCTCCTCCGCTGAAACCTCGGCTCAGTCAGTGTGCTAAACGTCATATGACCGCCCGAGACTGTTGTTCTACATCTCCAACTGCTCACCGCACCTCCGTCTCTCTGCCTGCTCATCGACAAGAAGTGAAAGCTGAAAGACTTTCTCCTTTTCCTTCGATGCTGCACAACCTTTCACCAACCGATACACTTTTTGCCTACACGTCTCCTGTTCACACCTCGCCCCGTGACAGACAAATACTCAATAAAGAAGTTGCATCAGTGCACCACAATGAAGCAACAGCATCCTGTGGTGCGCTGCAATCCATCCTGTCAAAAGTTGGCCAGACTGCAGGAAAAATGCAATAGTTTTATGTGTCTACTTTGAATACTTTTCAAATGTTGAGACAGGATACCGCATCTCTGATACTGCAGATATCATGCAGGTGTCATTATCTGATTTGACACCGTCATCAGGAAGTCGACCCCACTTGCATTTTGGCCTATATTGCTTAGTATCCTCTTCCGCTTTCATTTATACATGCGGTGGTGGTGATGTGACGCACCACAGCATCCGCTCACTCGCAGCTGAAAGTCAACCGTCACTAGCAGAGACCCACGACACACGTATAATGAAAATACACATGCATGAGTAAGAGAAAACGAAGAGCCTGAGCTCCAGCTTGACACTTTGTTCTATCTGTGATGCAGTGCCCCAGTAAACACTGAATAACATTTTAAGCCATTTTCACACGCGAACTTTGGAAGATTGTCCAGGTTACTGCACTGGTATATCTTAATATATCTAATAATATAAAACTATATAACTGTGATGTCTTAAAATGGTAAATGAACTGGTACTTATATAGTGCATTTCTACTCAATTTGAGCAATCATAGCACTTTCTTACTACAATCCTCATTCATACACAAGAGACATACAAGTGCTTTTAAACACTTGTTTTCTATCCTACGTTCTGTAGAAATCCACTGTCAGAGGTGCACATGAGAACGTATATGTCCCACCTAGTCAATACAGAGATTTTAATCTTTAAACTGTCATCTCCCTAGTGCAAAGTGTTTCTTGCTGCCTCTATTTAGACAGATCCGTTGCCAAGCAGAATACTTCTAGTAGTTCTAATCGCAGACCCTAGCAATGCTCTCTGTGTTCATGCAGTTACAATCCAAAGGATGCATCCGGGGCAACTTGGGGTTCAGCATCTTGTCCAAGGATACTTGGACATCCAACCTGGAGGACCAAAGGGTCGAACCGCCGGTTTAAAAACCGGCAGATCTCTGATCTGACTACAGTAGGTGGGACATTTGCGTTCTCATGTGCACCTCCGACAGGTGATGTCTACAGAAGTCAGAGTTGCAGCTGATGAGAGACAATAGCTTTAGAACAATACAACTTTGGCCTAAGGAGGTGCTAAATGTCCAGGCCAGCACTATAAAAATTTTTATAACCAGTCAGCTAAATAATTTCAAGCAGTGCAGTCCCTTGAGTGACAGCTTGTGCTGCATTAAATCAGTCCAAGAAGCAGTGGATTTTTAACGACTGACTTACAGTTAGAATCCATTATTCATGAAAACAATTACTGGAGGATCTTCATTACGTCTTCTGCTGCTTGGGCTACAAATACTATGACCACTGTGATAACAGCGTACCTCAACACTCAGATCCACATGCAGTGAAACTTAAACTAAAAACCACACAAGCAGAAAATGTGCGCTCAAACTCACAGCAAATGTCCATTTACCAAAGTCACAGTCGCTGCCTTAAATAGCACACGGACCTCTGATGGATTTTGTTGTAAACAGTTCCCATTTAATCTGCACTGGTACATCAGTCCCAGTCAGACTGATCTCCTTTCGTGCACAATTACACAGAAAGTCTCTGCCTAAACAGGAAGACTATATCTTCCTGTCAAGGTAATAAGCAAGAGGCACAAATAGAAAGGGTAAAATTCAGCACCTGGATGGCAACTTTTTGAGACTTTGGCAAATAAACAGGAAATGACAGCACAGTTTTAACAGCGTAACCTTACCTGTAGCTCACACCATGCCACTTCCACTGTTGTCTCAGTGTCCAAACCCTTGTAGACAGTCTTAAAAGACCCTCTCCCGATCTCAATGTCAAACTTCAGGAAGCGTCCATCTGGTGAAGTCCCTACAGCTTTTGTTTCAGCCTCCTCTATGTCCTCTTGCTCCCGTTCCCTCTGCTCTGCCCGTGCTTTCGCGAGCCCCTTCTCCTCCTCCGTCTCCCTGTCTTTCTCCTCGGTTGGACTACTGATGCTTCCCTCATACACATTTCCTACTGCTTTTCCATCTTTGGCCACCTGTTCCTGAAGCCCTCTGGGACGCAATACGATGTCAGGCTGTTTGGCTACTGTTTTATTGGTAACATCCAATACTGTCGAGCTGGGCTCTGTTACTGCCCCATCTGCACTATGTTCAACACTGCTACTGGTAGGAACAGCAATCGTGCACACATCCAAATCTCCCTCGGCATTTTGTAGATCCCCCTCTTCGACTGCCCCACCATGCCCAAATGAAGGCTGAAGGGTACTGCTCTGCAGATAGGAACCTCTTTGGGACTCCTCACCTTCATAATCCTGTCCTCCAAGGTTTAAAAGCTGCGGAGAGAAGATGATGGGAGTCCCTTCACAGTCTGGGGGTGATGTGAGTAACACAGCTGCTTTGCTGGGAAGATCCAAAGCTGTGGCATTCGAGTCACAAATGACACTCCGGCGGAAGAAACGGTGCTCGGCCGTTTTAGAGTCTCTATCCATTGTGTGGCGCCGACGTTGGACCTCCGGCTCTCCAAGAAGCTTCTCCACGACATGCGTGTCTGAACTGGCAGAGCCGTTCACATTTTTGTGGGGGGTCTGGGGTGATGGGCAGGGGGACGGAGAAGAAACGGGGGCAAGAGGAGCAATGAATTTCACTGCTTTGCTGCTGCTATTTTCTTCAGACATTCTTTCAAAAAAAAAAGCTCAAACTGTAAAAGAGCAAATCTTTATGTAGAGACTTTTATGTAACTTATTCCTGTAAACTCTGAGCGCAGATCTCAACCTCCTAGTTCATTAACCTTTGATCAAACCGCAAGAAAAGGAAAGTTAATATGCAATAGAACAAAAAACAAAATTGACTGAATGCAGCAATCCTTGATGTCTTTTGTATTTTTTTTTGTTTTCCTCTTTGCAATGTTTTAAATTAACAACCCACAGTTTCTACAAGGCCCTTTCGTGGAGGGCTCAGGGAAGCCCCAGGTGAGTGGAAGGGGCTTTCTCTTAAAAACTGGGGAGGGAAGGGATGAAAGGCAGTCAACAGAGGAGGGGTGCAAGCACTGCAGTGAGACGATAACCGTCAAATCAACACGTAACTCCATCCTGCTGCCAACAACCAGACTGGGATGACCGCAACATGGAATGACTGGAGATCGATTAGACCAGTATGGCCTCTTAAAAGATGACAGAAGATGCCTGGACTCCAAAGTTTGATTTTTAGGTCTGGGGATGTCTCTGTAAGACCAGGCTGAAGCCTCCTCAGCTGCCTGAACAAAAGACTTCCAAGAGAGGTTGCTGGCCTCTATTGTAAGGCCAGATTGATGGCTAGGTAGGCCTAGGCCTGGCCTAGCCTGGCCCAGCTTGGTCTGCTTCTGTCCTTGTCCCTGGAAATAAAAAGAGGAAAAATATGAAGTGAAACTGTTTTATTTATAGGTATGAGTATACATGTCAGAATTCAACATACCTGGCTGCCTGCCAAAGTAGCTGATAAGAACACACAAGCCGTCAGATATTTTTTTTATTGCATTTTATTGCAGGAATTTGAAAGCAATTTCAAAACCTTGGCTTTTTTTTTTTCTCCTTTCTTAAACCGGGACTATCCGGCTGATTTCTATCTGGATATCTTTTTATTCTCTGACTCAGACAGGAGTCCAAAAAATCCTCATCCGTGTAGCAACTTTGCGCGACTAAAATTATCATCATTTAACTTATAGTAGACCTTTGCACACCCTTTAATTCATCATGTCTGACACAAGCCATCGAAGCTCATCTTTTGTTTCCAAGGTCACCCACACTCTGTGCTCTATGGAAACTGTGGGCCAGATATCTAACAGCGACACCTCAGGTCCCAAAGACCAAGTCAACAGATGACAAACGATGGGCGTACTAGACTGGACTGACAACGTCAGAAGAGGAAACAAGGCAGCCAAATGGTGCCGTAGGCTTGGGCACACTGTAATCTGTATTATTCCCAGGCAAGAAAGTAAAGATGAGTCACTTATTTTTGTTATTGTTCTTGTTATGAACCGCCTGGTTAATAAAATGAGAGCGAATAAAGAACTGGGTTTGAACTGGTGAGTGAATGTTCACGGTACTTCACCCACTGTCAGGAGTCATTAGTTCAGAAAAGACTTAAAACACTCGGTCAGGCTTTGGTTTGATATTTTTTCAGTGAAATAAATTTGCCTTTGGTTGAGCTCAGCACAATTTTTTTTAAATCTCTAATTTAAGCATGTTAACCAGATGGAGATCTGCATCCCACACCAGTCTCTCCCTCCCAGCTGCCCCTCCATAGTTAGTGATGTAGCAGAGACTGTGCCTAATTGCTCCATGTTCCAAATTTAGCCCAAGTCAGCACAGCCTGACTGACCCCGAGGTTAGACTGCTCTGTAGCAATTCAGCAGATTAACATGAGAGATGAGGGGCACTCAGAGTGACACAGACAGAACTACTTCACAGAAATGCATATCTGAGGACAGTGCACAATATATTACTATGCATTTTGTGTTAGAGGAAATGTAATAACTAAGTACTACGTTCAGAACTTGCAAGTCGGCTCGCGTAACGTCCTACAGACGCCTTCTACTCGGTGATCACAGTGGCACCGGCACAGAGAACGAGCAGCTGCTTTCATGTGTGATGTTAGAAACAATTCACTGTAAACGTATTCAAGCTTCAAAACAAACCAAAGCAAGTTTTCACAAGTTTGACACTGATGTGCAAAGAAGAACGCAGAGGATGGTCCCAGTTTGTGGTCATTAAATTTACATATGCGCTATTCTTCAGAAGACATTTTTAAGCCCCATTTGTGTTTCATTTAGTCCCAGAAACTATTTTTTATCATCTCAATTTAGGGAAACGGTTAAAAGACAACCACTGAGAAGGTTATAGTACGGATGCAGCTGAAAGCTATGACCTTACTGCTTATTTGAACCCTTTCTAATATTGAAATCTGCACCGTACACCTATGTTTGGTGCTCCATTACATGCATAACGACACAAATCTTTAAGCAAATGTTTAAATTTCCATGAAATAATACCACAGATTATTAAGCCTTACACACATTCTGCCCTAAGATAAGCCCTTTCCTCAGACGAGTTAGGTTCCAGTCTGGGAGCGAATGAAACGATCTTTGAAAGTGTAGCACCTCTGTTGGACAGCTGTCTGAAACGATGGCTGCACTGATACTGTCGTGACAATAAACTCAAAATATGAATTACTGCTGGTAGGAAAAAACAAACATGAAGTTGTGCCTATGTCAAGAAGCTCCTATCAGCTATGTTACAACAGATGCCCTTCCTGATACAACCGCAAAGGAATTTGTGTCTCCTCCCAAGACTGGACTGGGGACTGAATGTGTAACCACTACACGATGGAGTCACTGCAGGTGTGTCTATAGATCACTGCTGTGATTTCATAACAGCTGACGGAAGCAGTGAGGCATAAATAAAGACTCTTAACAGTCAGAAAAAGGTCAATACAGTCAGACTTAAACTTCAGTGTTTGCAATAAGTACTGTGGATTACTGCATCACTGGTGTCCCCCAAGTACCAATTTGAAGTGTCCCTTTAATAACCCGATGCTATTATATTTGTGTTTCTATTGCACCACTGCTAAAAAAAAAAATGTGTAAAGTATGTATACAATGTTAATTTATATACAATATAAGCAAATCTGGTCTAATAGGAAGAAGATTTCTTTTTAACTTTGAAATTGCAAGCTCAGGTTAAAAAAAATGCCTCAAAGAAGGCGCAACAAGAAAGATTATTACTTCTTCTTATTAAAGGAGTGTCAGCTTGTTGAGAAAACTAAGACATCCATGGGCCCTAAAACGGACTGATTCCTGGTCCACGAGCCACATGTTTGATACCACTTGCCTAAGCAAAACTCTATGATCTAAACTTATTTTTCAAGTAGAATGATAAGGGCAGCATTAAAACAGGTAGAAGCAGCAACATTATTATTGATATATAAAGGCTTTGTTATCACATCATCAGTAAATGAACTCCAGCGGTTACGAGCGGATCATAAAAGCCTGATGTGTGCACATGAGCAAATAAACCTTGGCTGGCTTTCGCTCAGTGGTCTTTATATTGCTATGGTATGATGTATGACAACAGCAGTGCTGCACTCGTGAGAACTGTAAGCCTTGCCACTGAGCAGAGTGGAAATGCAGTGAGCTTAATTAAAGCTGCAGAGCAACCCCGTGCAGTGACGGCTTCACTGCTGCCTGTTGAGGAACTCCAGAAAACGAGGTTGTGTCGACAAGTTTGTCTACAGGCAAAAACAAAGACGCGAGCAACGACTCTGCAGAAAGCATTGCGATGCTAAAACAAAGGCGAAGCATTACCTATGACATCGGTGTGGTCTGTGCTGTTGCCGCAGAAATGTGAAGGGGGGAAAAACTTGATTAGGGAGCCTTTTACTCCTCTGCAGAGGGTCTGCTCTACACACAGCACAAGTGTCAGTGTGGTGCGTCACATTAAAGCCACAGTTGGTTGAGGGAAAACACTAAATAAGAGCGATTTGTACAAAACACAACAAATATCCCTCAAATTAAAAAGGTCCAATCAGAGACGAGACGAGCGGTGCGTGCAGAGAGCCCCAAGCCGACAGACAGACACCTCCCACAGGACAGAGATGACAAGTTCGCCCGCTGCTGTCGCGGAGGCTGTGGTACTACTTTTCTCTCCGTGTTGTCTGTGTAAGGCTTCCAAAAACAAAAAAAAAACGATAACAGCCTCACTTAAAGGTAATGTATCCCGACCCGTGTTGGCACCCGGTCCGCTCGTGCCGCCTCCGCGTCGCTCCTCCGGGCTCGTACGATGCTATAAATCCGCTGCGGTCCACAGTGATTCCCCGTTTTCAAGCCATCAGACAGCGGATCCGTCTGCTCTGGGATCTTCTCCAGCGATGACTCGTCAAAGCAACTGCTGGGCTTTCACGCAGCACAGCCGCATCAATTCACTGCTGCGAGCGAGGATGCTGGAGCTGTATAAGGCCGCTTTTCAAAATAAAATAAATTACTCCTCATAAACTCACAAACTTCCTATATCCCTCCTGCAAGCGTGTTCAGTCGTGAAAGGGCTGTTGTTGAGTACAAACCCATGCAATGCAGCCCCCACCAGAGTCTGTTTTCTTCAGGTACTTGAAGCATATATGTTGAAGTGATGGAGATCCAGCTGTGCCCCTTCGTGGATCTACTGGAGCAGCTTCAGCAATAGTAAGTACTGTAAGCTCTCAAGCTCTCAGTGCCATTCTAATAGAAAAGCTATCATATAATGTAGGATGTATTATTCAGTCATTAGAAATAAGAAACACGTGTTAATTATTTTATAATGTAGGGAGAAATGGATTCGAAATTGATTTGACTTTTTTTCGTTTTTAAGTTAATAGTTGACTAATAATTAATAATTGTCTGTATCGAAAAGTAAGCAAAGACAGTTTCTGTTTTAGGCTCATTTTTTGTTCATTGTCAAGCAAAGAGAAAAGGTTATTCAGCAGACGCTTCGATCTTATTTTGACAACTCAAGCCGGAAATGGTTTTATTTCCTGCTGAGGTAATTTACAACGGCTACCGGAGGCAAACCCGTGCATAATGACCCACCAGACAGCAGCAGTGTGAACCAACACGCGCCGCTCATCGTGTTTTTATTTCATTTGTTTTTAACACGTGCTTTGCCATTTTTATTTAGACCGATAATTGTTGAGGCTGTTCAATGACGCCCCCACCATCTTTTCCTAAATATTGACTAATTTACCCTGAAAGAAAGAGGCTTTCACTTCAGCAGCAGGCCCACTCTATGCTCACGTTTTCTTTAATTTTTTTTAAAACAAAATTTCACTTCACTAATTTGGAAACACACTTCACCCTTGCTGCTTCCTCCAGATTGTCATGCAAATGTTATTTTACTAAAGCAACTGTTTTGAAAATGCCACACACAAAAATCTGATTGTGGATTGTGAAAACTGCTGACTAATTTTCACAGTCATCACCAACAGCTTTCATCTGAACTTAAAGTTTCCACGGTGAACAGCAGGATGATTCGCTCTGTGTCGCTGGTACAGGAAAGAGCTGAAAAGGATGTGTTCACACCTGTGACTTCTACCTGTGTTTGTTACTGGAAGCAGTGGCAAGGCTACAGCAAAAAGTGAGCCATTAACTTGTTGTTTTGTTTTTGTTTTTGGAGTTTTCACATGGCCACCTGTAGCTTAATGTGCCAGCGAAACAGGAACGAGTGTCTCAACGCAGATCAATTTTTTCAAGCCTGGTCTTCGTTCCTGGTGCGTGTGTGTGAGGTGGTGTTCCTTTGCCTGTGTGTGCATGCTGCACATTTTTATCCTGCACTTTCCTTTAGGCAAAGAAAGAATTATGAGGTTGCAAAAACAGGTTAGCCAAGTACAGACTAAAGCAGATAAAGTATACAAAAGCACTCCTGAATGCAGGAAGTGTCCGTAAAAATACAGCCTGTGACACTCAAAATGCAAAATGTGTCTTCATAGGAGAACATATTTTGTTCCACAAAGTTACAGGCCACAACAAAGGCATCTGCAGTTCCTGTGAAGTGACAATGCTGCCCATCGATAAACATTAAACAAACATTAAACAAAAAAAAAAAAAAACATTAAACATTTCTATAAGCTCAGGTAGCATCCTGACACCACTGTGCTGTAGCGTGCAGCTAATCTCATTTAAAGGAGCAGTTGGGCATGTATGCATATTTGCTTTCTTGCAGTGAGTTGGCTGAGCCGTCAAGCAAGCCTAATTAAAGCTTAATATCCTAATGTGTGCATCCTAATATATTACATCCCAGAGTATGTTATTATAACTTGAGGCACACAGAGAGTTTATGGAGAACATGCATGACCGAGATACTCCAGTCTGCTTTCCCCCTACACAACAGGCTGAACAGGCTTAATGTCACTTTTCCTTTTTATTACTATCTGACTGGTGTTGGCGAATATGGATGACATTCTGCTAAAATTTGAATTTGTGGAAATTGCAAGAAGAGAAGAAAAGCTTCACATAAATATTTAATGTATAGTCATGAGAGAGTTCTCAGTTATCTCAGATTTAGTCAAGGAAATCAGTAAGCATATCACAAAATGTCAAAATAGTCTTTTCACCTTTAACTATCATGTCTCTAATTCCAGGACAGTTTATGCTTTTCAAGCATAACCTTGAAAGAACTGAAAGCTTCTCCTTTTTTACCATTGCAGTCATTTCACAGGAAGTCACTTTGGTTTGCATTGTAAAACCTGGAATCCAGTTTGCCTGGAATCCATTATCTAAAGAATTAGACTCATTTGAAACTCTTTAATTGTTGTTCAGAGTGCAGGCAGTCGCAGGAGAGCTACAGTCATGGAACAAAGAAAGCACAAAGAAAGCACAAACTCTGTCAATTCTAAGGTTTTACATATCAGGACATAACAAAAACAAATCTGGTCCTCAGCAGGTCTTAAAATTAAGTTACTATAACCTCAGATGAACAACAAAATATGACACATTACACTGTTAGTATGTGTTTAGGAGGAAGTAAGAACATCAGCCATGATTTTAGATAAGCAGTTGTTGTGCTGCGCATCAACCAGGGGAGAGCTATAAGGTTATTTCTGAATATTAAAGCCTACAGTGAGAAAGATTATTCAAAAGTGGAAAATGTCCAACATAGTTGCCAGTCGTTCCCAGGATTGGAAGTCCCAGAAAATTCTCCCAAAGGTTAGGTAATATGCAATGCTCAGAGAAAATGGAAAAGCCCAAGAGCTACATCTCTGTAGGCCTCACTTAGCATGTTAATAATGAAAGTCCAATGAGAAAACAACAGGACATCTATGGCTTGTTTGGAAAGGTTGCAAGGTGAAAGCTGCTTCTCTCTAAAATGAGCTTGGCAGCAGATTGGCAGCAAGAGAGTAAAGTGGAGATGTTTGGCCATAATGCACAAAGCCATATTTAGATAAAGCCAACTGTCAAACATGATGGTGGAGGGCCAATGATTTTGGGTTGTTTTGCAACCACAGAACCTGGGCACCTTGCAGTCACTGAGTCAAATACGAACTTCTTTGTATACCAAAGTATTCTAAAGTCAAATATGAAGCCATTTGTACGACAGCTAAAGCTTGGCTGAAACTGGGTGATGTAACAGGGCAACAATCCCAAGCACAGAAGTAAATCTATAACAGAATGACAAAAAAAAAAGAAAATAATCATGGTGTCGTAATGGTCCGGTCCAGTTTAAGAAGCACGCGAATAAACAAGTGCCCACAAACCTCAATGATCTGAAGCAACATTGTAAAGAAGAGTGAGACAAAATTTGTCCACAATGACATGAGAAATATTACTAAAGTTCTAAAACTGGTGCTAAGGGTGGTCCTACAAGCTATTAAATCATGGAGCGTACTATATTTACACACACTGCTTCTGCATTTTGGCTCAGTATTTGTTAAGCAAATAATGACACAGTGTAATATGTCATGTGTTCCGTTCATCAACGGTTACAATAACCTAATTCTAAGCCCTAAAAAGGACAACATTTTTTAATGTCCATACACGTATGATCGTAGAACAGACAGAGGGTGTACTTTTCTTTCTTTTTTTCTACCATGACTGTACATTCAAGCAGATCATTTTCACAGAAATTCAGTACCTTAGAGCTTCAGCCAAGCTTCATTCACTGACAAAGGGTTTTCTGAAACACACAATGCAACACTTCAACCACTTCCTTTTTTGTCATTTCTCTTTATGCCCCAGTAACCTAGTTTTTTCTAACTTTGCTTCAAACACAGCTACCCCACTCCAGTCCGTTTTGCTTGTCCAACCAGTTTTTTCAACGTAATCTGGGTGCTGTTAGTTCTAGTTAAATGAGCCGCCATAAATCTGACGTTTAAAAAAACAATAATAATAATGATTGAAGTTATGCCAAAAGCATGAGCAATTTTGTTTGCATTTATAATAACACTCTTAAAATAACACTCTCACTCATTTTTTTTAATATTAGAATGACAACACTATTTTCATAGTCACCAGGAAATGTGATTGATTAAATTCCAGTTGGCTTATTCCACCCTTTGGCTATACTGACTCCACTACAATAACATTTCATATTATCCCCAAGTTTTACTGATAAAAGTGCAACGTTTCAGTGTTATCTTTCCTTCTATATGGTCTCTTTAAAATGCATTTCATTATTTTTCATCCTTAACGGGAGGTGCGGGCCGTGCTTTTCCGCAGTATGTGCTACAGCTTCTTTTTTGCGGAGCTTCTTACACCTCATAATGATACTAAAAGAGGTTTCTATGTGTTACAGTGCACGCTGTTAAAAACCATCTTACTCTGGCCCTGAAACTCACCCACTCAGTACATGCAGAAGCAAGCAAAAGAGGAAGCTGGAGACCAAAGCTGAACCAAGAATATGTAAAGAGGAAATATGCAAAGGAGGGCTGCTGACATGGCAGTGCAAGTACATCAGTTACTGGTGGGTGAATCTTCATGCGATTTGAATGTATCTATATGTAAAACATAGTGCACAATAAACACAGTATGGGTTCTTGTGTCACGTGTTTGGTGATGTCAGAAAAAATCTGACCTTCCAAGCAAGTTCCAGCAGGCTGGGGAATTTGTCGAAACTTGGCTCAGGTAGTCAAAATAAGCCTGTATGTGTATCTTTCACTTAAATAAACACCAGGGTACATCTTCTTGGCAACCTGTCTTTGTCACTGCTGCATCTCTTGCATGGTAGATACACCAATTTTTATATACTCTTGCATTTTATGTTCCTCTTTAACTGCTGCATCATATATTAATTTGATCAATGTGTGAGGCCTGTGACCAATCAGATGCTGGTTGGCTGCTATGATTACTAACTAATGCTTCTCTGCACTTAAAAAAGAAAAGCTAGCATTTGACTAATTTCTTGCTATTCTAACTTTGCCTTCTGTGGGTGTGGAAACACTTAGACTTATTTAAACGACTAATTTCTGC